TAGGGGAAATCTCGGCCACATTTTTTCTACATTCAAAGATGGAGGATGTGGGAAGAGAAAGAGAAAGGAAGAACCAGCAATTCTTTCTCTTCTTCTTCTCTTTTTTTAAGTCTTTGCGTTTTGCGTTATTAGGATGAAGGATGTGGAGATCATTTTTTTTACTATTCGACTCGGTCTGACAGATTCAACAATAAGCTAGCCAAACATCGTTTCGTGATTAGGTCTCCTTTCAAGACTTGACTGAATGTTGCATCTCGTAAAGGTTCGGGTAAACAAGCTCTTAAAGCCTCTCTAGCTCTGTGTCATGAAGGTCAACACAAAAAAAAGTAGGGGAGGGGAGAGTGATCAGAATAAATACTCAAGCTAAACTGGGTGCAAAAAATATCATACCTCAAGTTATCGCTTAATCTTAAATAACACCTCACGACATGTTTCAAGAGTCTCACGGCCTGGGTTTCGACCAACTGGTTGACCATGTTGCTGAGCACCGTTCCCACAGCATAGAATCGCTCGTAAGTCTGACAGATGTAGGCCAGACCCATCTCATCGAGGAGGATTTTTTGGACGATGAAGATGGCGACGGTCTTGCTCAACTCGGATCCAGTCTCCATGATCCTGAGACATAAGGGGATGATCTCAGTCGAGAGCAAGAAGTTGATCACCTCTGAGTTGTCGTTTTGTTTCACCAGGGCGCCGATCACCCCGAGCGAAGTCAGTCGGAGGTATTCAAACGGTCGAGTCTTCGAGGTCGTATTCAGGAACGGGTAGAGGAATAGTGGTAGATGGGCTTGTAAGAATAGCGCTCGAGTCTCGTTGTGCGATGCGACACATTGGAGGAGTGCGAGTGCGTTGCAGACTCGGTTGGATGCATTGGCGGTTAACGAAGGGGGTGATAGGAGTGGATAGACGGCGACGATCTCTTGTAATAAGCAGGACATGACACCTGTTTTTTTTTTTTCGTTTTGATGATGATTAGCACCTCGGATGATAAGTGGGAAAAGAGAAGAAACTGTTTCAAATGGATTTTGACTGACCGAATGAATGCCATAAAACAAGGGCGAGATCGTCCCATTGTTCGCGCTTCTTACTGAGTTCTAAGAGTGCCAATTCTCTGGTGAGTGGGTTCAAGAGGTCGACGATCAAATAGTGAATCTTTTCGTTCTCGGATTGTGAGTTCTTTGGATGCTCAGCCCCGGTGGGTGAGCCATGCTTGGAGGACAAGAGCAGTTTCCCAGTCGAACTGGACAGGATATGCGAGGGTACGTTGATGGGTAATCCGGCAGAACTGGGGGTATTCACTGAAGGTGGACCAATTAAGGAGGGTGTATCTACTCGACTGACTATGCCTGGATTGATTGAGATGATATCAAGGGATCAGTTACTGGCCATTGCTTGAGATTGTCCTGGGTCTTACCGTTTTGAACTTGAGAGGGCGTGGAGCTGTTGTTGGAGTTGAGGAGTGAGCCGTATGATTCTCTGGAAGCGGATAGGGGGGCGATTGGGACTGTTGAGAGCTCTCAAGAGTAGGGTTACGTTGTTGATTTGAGTTGGAGTTGAGGTTGGGGACTGATGAGTGATCCCTAGGTGGAGATTG